TTTCGAAACTTTCGGAAAATTCTTTTCTTTTACAAATGTCTGCAATCGATTTATTTATTATTCGTTTATTAATGAGAGACAAGTGAAATGAAAAGGAATTTTATAGTAAATTATATATCTTGTGGCAATTATATATCATCGATTGTGACACAAATGTCACTGGTGAAATGCGAAAAAGAGATTAATTTCGACTAAGATTCACAGATTCGAGAAAAGGATGAAGCTGGTTCAAACTTTGCAAATAAAATAGCGCTAGTCAAATTGTTTAATCAACTTCTATTGTTTAAGGATTACGCAGTTCAGAGATTAAGGAAAATTTGTGCGAAAACAACTCTTCTTAATGCAGAAAGGCACAATCAGCTTTTCTTTGTGCTTTTTTTATAGTACATCGTTAAAATTGGTTTTTTTAATTTTTATTTTAATTCTTATATAATATATGTGCCGCTTTATCCGCAATTGTCTAAATAAAGTCTCGAAAAATCCGAATATCTAATTTCATAAATGCGAAGAATAATACTTTGTAAAATAAAAATAAATTTAAATTAAAAACATATGAACAGCTCGGGCAAATCTTAAGAACTAATTTGACAAATAATGTAATGCAAAATTAATTAAGCTGAATTGTCAATTTAACAATTCAGCTTAATAATTTTTTTTTTCTTTAAATATGAAAAAAGTATAATATTTTCAACTGTTCCTTTGATGATCGTTTTTCGTTTCTGAATAATACAAAATGCTTGTCAATCTCAACCGAAATCTCAACATTTCTTTGTAAAATAAAAATAAATTCTTTGTAACATATTTTGTAATATAAAAAGCGGCGGGCATAGAATCTTACATGACGCGTAATATCAGTTCTTTATTATTTTTAGGTTCTTTATTGAAAACAAGGGAAGATTTTCTTAGAATATCCGGCCTAAATCTGCGTTTTTAGTTAGTAAAGAAAAAGAAAAAAGGACATGGTGCTCAATGATTTGCATAATTTATGCATTTGTCAAACGATTTTCCAGAAAGCATTTTTCAAAAGATTCTATTTATTTGTGTTAGCTCTTCGATCTTTTACAAAAAAAAAACACGAAACCTTATTTAAAATATAAGGTAATACAAGCGTGCATTTTCTAATTATCGACACGATCGAGTCGACCTAAGTTTGCGGAGTTTCCATAAATGAATTGTGAGATCGGCCTTAGAATGTTAATACTGAGATCACTGAGATAGAAAACAATTTTAGTTAGAAACAGATCTGAAAATAATTTTGTTGGACCATAAAATTATTATGTGGAACGTTTAAACTGAATGCTAGAATGTCAAAACTTTTTACAGCCTAGCTTATCATGCTTGAAATTCCAACAAAATTATTTTTAGAACCGTATTTAGCTAAATTTTTAGATTCTTCAGTAAAATTGCGCTTTACGTGTGCCGTTTTCTTTACAAATGCGTAGCTAAAGGTTAGGACATTAATAATAATTCCAATTTGTTAATCTTAATGATACTAAAAAAAGTTTGATAGTCAAACAGACAGATGCACGCTTCGAACGTGCATAATCGGTATTTAGAATTACAATGTAAAATAATTTGTCACAATTTTTGGCGCGCTCGAGTCTAGCCAAGCAGATGTCTTTTTTTCGCGAAATATCCACACGTGTCTACAGTAAACAACTGCCGAAACTATCTACGAAAATCGACTATCTCGACCGAGAGAGGAAATTGCCGAGTAGTTTTGATAACCCGATTCAAAGGCCGTTAGAATAATTCGAACGTCTGAACGGGCACATTTAGAATCGCCACGTCGTCGCGTCATTGGAGATTGATAATTAACAACGTCCTTCTCTATCGCGATATTCAGAAAGTTATATATACATATATTTTTTTTATCGTCTCCTTGAAGAGATCTTGTAAAAAAGGAAATATAAAGTTATGTAAACTTGACTCGACGACTGACCTATTTTCACATTACAGGTAGTATAGACTACAGAAGTTGGCGAAGCTCAACAGTTTCCCCAAGTCTCGTACCTCTGTTTATATTTCCTCCTACAATTTTTTTCTACCATTTAATAATGTAATATTATACCGATCGATACAAGTGATATAAGATGTAAGCAACATAGGAACGTTAAAAGGGATACTTTTCCTATGGGTACGATTGCCATGGTACTATGACGAAATGCTGCTACGGATATATTTAATATATTTTTTCTGATTCGTAGATTAAAAAATCTATGAAAAATTTATAATTAATAAAGATTATATAAATTATTGTCGTCGGTCGATACGTAGATTATTCCGTGTTTAAATGCACTACTGTCGTAAGAACGAAGGATGCAAAATCGAAAAGAAAGGTGGACGCTTTCTTCCGGGAAGAAGGGGTCTACAGGAAAAACGGATGAGAGTATAAGACACAGAAAGGACAGCCGAGAAGGGCTGAAAACGGAGCTTTTCCCATGGCATATACCATTACTGGTCAAACTGGTAGATTTATGGCGGATCGCGAGCCTTTTACATCCTCGCGAGTATAGGACACAGAAAGGATTTGATTGATCTAGTTTAATCTGCCGCCAATGCAATTAAATACAATTGAATACTTTATATTTTTATACCATGATATATTCTTCGTTATACATAATTCATTTATTTAATTTCATTTTTGAAAAATTATAAAACAAAGACAAAATTTATTTTCTCGTCGAAACATTGCGAAACAAACTTCTGTTACTTCCGACGTTTCCTTCGACATTAGTTATGAAAAAATTTGATTGTAATAATCATATATACATTTCTGTGCAATATATCTTAGTAATTGTAAAAAAGTGAAGGTTATTTGCTAGGAATGAAATTTTATTTCGATGTATTTAAATAAGAATTTATTTCAGTGAAATAAATATGTTTTACAAATAAATTTGTAAGTATTTTTTTTTCAGAAATACATAGACAAACTAAGGCTGTAAAACAAACAATAAACGTTATATACAAGGTGTCTTGCAATATGGCGCGGGCCACGTTGGGGGCGGAGAATGGATCGCAGGGAGGGGAGAGATCCGCTGGCTCGTCACCCGGCACAGTCTGACATGGCGATCTTCTATGTGTTTAGTTGCATCGCGCCTACACTATCCAGAATGTTAAACTACATTTAATCAGATGTCTAAATTCATATACGACATGCTTGGAATTTTTAGCAGGGAAATGATTGATATAATTTAAATAAGTATGTACAATTTAAATAAGCATGTCAGTCATTGAAATACAATAAATATTAAAAGAAGGGGCAAATTTATATCAATATTTGTTACAAGGAATTATATGAGTCAACTAAATAAAATAAAATATATAAGTAAAAAAGAGCATTCAGTTACAACATTAGATGTCTCTTTCAAGTGAAAGTCATATGTATATTAAAAATTATAATATAATAATGTAGGCATTTGGGTCAAGATTTGACCATCATATCAGTACATACAAAAATAAAGATATCAAAAATAAAAAACAAAAACTTAAACAATAAACGCTAGTCAGAAAAGTAAAACGATTTTCGGTTATGGTACGAGATAATAGAGTAATTTGACGAAACTTGAAGTTGAACATTACTTAATCGCTAATGAATTATTTTCTATTACACGTAAAGTGCGACTCCGTGTGGCAAATACATAATTTCCAGATTCTAATTGAAATAAAAAAAAAGAAATGATTTTTTAATAATATTACTTTACAATAATACTAGGAGGGGGGGAGGGGGTGAAGGTCGCTATGTATGGAAGTCGTATTGTTCATAAAAACGTTTTCATTAATATCTTTTTAATGAATGAACGAGCGACGGAAAAGGTTAATGGCCTTGATGTTCTTAACGATATTCTAAATTAAGATCAAAGTCAAGGTCATTTGGAGATCGTTTGGTGCTGACCGCGTAAAAGGGAGGTTTTATCCGGATTATGAATTTCGCACGATCCTGGATCGATTTGAACTAAAAACTTGGACTAACTTAAAATTAGTGATCATATAATCACTAATTTCATTCAACTAATCGAATAATTATTCCAACACGCTATTATCATAGTTTTTATTTATTCATTAAACCGTAAAGTTATAATCGCATTATTTCTGATTAAGATTACCGGTTGAGGAATCTGTTTTAGCCAATTACGATGAAGGTGGCCCATACTCGTTACATCGTAATGATTCGCTAATATAGAACCGTCAATTGACAATCCTAATTGGCTACCAGTGACATAAGTTGATTTGATCAGCGAATCAGAACGGGTAGCGAGTGTAGAACTTCGTGTTAATCCGACTTTGCAATTCGTCAGATTCATCTCCGTTCTCCGACGCTCCGATTGCTCCGATGATCGTCATGCGTGCGTTAAAATGTGTGTCGCTCGTGTACGAACAATCTTGCCTGCTCTTTAGGTGCCTATGTTTCTCCACAAAAGCGAGTACGCCATTTGTCACTCGTCATTGTCCTACGTATACTTGACAAGAACACCGCTCCTGCTGTTCGCCGC